CATAGAATATGTTTATATAATCGTCTTGTCAACGCATGTCTTCAGGCAAATAACCTAATGTTTAACAGTAGGCACCTTATTCTAACATTTGCCAGTGTTGACGGCACAAGTTGTAGAGTAGGCTTGATGCTAACTAAGCCTGAATTCTAAAAGTTGATGTACTAGCTTGTTGTTAAACTTAGTCTTAAGGCAACATGGCGATTGTGCTTTATTGTTAAATAATTATATGAACCAAATTAAGAAATTTAGATCTAGGAATCTTGAATAATCAGTGGAACGTTGGTGATGAATAGGAAAATAAATTTAAAAGTTTAGTTATTGAATTACTACAGAATACTAATATTAGTAGTAATAATATTACTGATGATAAGACACAAGCGTACAATTTCAGACGTGCTTAAATATAAGTGTTTTTTGTTTAGGGCGTAGAAAACAAAGTGAGAGATGGGCATTTGGCTGAGTGAGATTCTCTTTTCGCTAACTCTGAGGTGGCTACCTAGTCTCTATTTCTGAAGACAGTCTTGTCTTGTGTTTCCTGTACTTGTCCTCTCTTGTGTATTCGAACTAGAAGATTGTTAGGTATTTATTGTACATAATTTGATCTTTTCTTAAGCACACCTGGATTACTTAGTGTTCTTCTTGCAGTATCCTTATCATTTAATTTTTTAAGATATGGGCATGTGGTATCATTTGTTCCTATTTTTTAAATGTGGCAACTCTACTTCATAATGTAAAATTTATGTTTAGTGTCTTATATTGATACTGGTCTTGAAGATAAAGCACAGAAACGCTGAGATTGTAAAATGAACATCGTATAGTTGTGTTCATGGGGGAAAGAAAATTCATCATTTCTCCTGCTTCAGGTTATATGAAAATAAAACTTGAATATAAACCCTTTTAACTGAATACTTCAACTTAAAAAAGCAATTGTAAATTTTTTTATGCTAGGCTATGCTCTTTTGTCACACAGTGCATTGGTATTCAAATTGGTAGGAAGAGCATGGAATGTATTCGGGGGAACATGAGAAGGTTCCAAAATATAATCTATTACTGCACTCATTTTTACTTGCTTTTATGAAATAAAACAAATCCTACTGCTATGCTCCATTAAACAGCCTCACCAAACTCACTAATAGTTAAAAGAAATTTTCCTTTAGCCCTTTTCCTTCATGCTTTTGAATACATTTTTTATGATAAAATACCCTCATGCATACCCTAGCTATGGAAACTGTACCATCCTCACAATTTTGAAACCAAAGTTATACCATTGCCAATAGGTAAACAATATTACATTTTACTTACAAAAAACTTACAAGTCTGTTCAAATCTTTGGTGCACTGCAATTTTTAAAACTTATTTATAGTGGTATATTTTATTTTTTTCACTGGTGTAATTATGTGTACTTGTGTGTATAGAAAGGGGAGAGAACTGCTGTCTTAAAAGTTTGAGAATCACTGACAAAAGACATCTAACCTAATGACAATGTTACTTCACTGGGGAAAACTCTATGTGTGCCTATTTTGTAGTGCTATGTAAAAAATTGAAAAAATATTCATAAAAAACAAAATTACAGGGCTCATATTAACTTTGAAAATTTCAGGTCATATAGGACAAGCAGGGGTAAAATTTTTATATGTCCAAACTTTTGCCTTTCTAAACAATATGCTGCCTCATATGAAATATAATTTAATTTTTATTATTTTGGGCAATATAAGTTATTTTTTATGAAATAATGTTACATTTAGATGTACTGCTAGTAAGTTTTAGAAGTATGCAATTGTAATAGTAAAAGAAATGCTTGGGCATGTTATCAAAAATCAGATATCACAGTTTAAATAAAAAAAAAAATTCTGATCAATTACAAATTTAGAAAGAAAAGCTAATCAAGGGAAATGTATAATCAAAATTCATTTTATTTATTAGGCAAATACGTTCTTAGCCAAACGAAAAACTTTAACATCAAACAACATAAAAACTAGAATAACATCAATTTCTTTCATGAAATAAAACTCAATAGTAATAATATTATCTTAAAAACTTTGAAACTCATTAGGGAATGAACAAGAAAACTAGAAAGTCTATTCAGATAATATTATGTTATTTTCTTAGCAAGTGTCAACTATATTTAACTTTACCACACCAGCTGCAGTAAAGTTTCATTGTTACAACTATGGTATGATACAAATTAACTTTTTAAAATTTAACTGTGTAATACTGTAACCAAATTTTCATTATTTTTTACATGGAAGAAGAAACTGCCACTATAACAATATGAAATTTTGGATTTATCAGTGTGGACCATACGGTCCTAAAGTTATATAAAGACAAGCAAAATTACAATAAGGTTAATATATACTGTAAATGATTAGCTCAGATGGGTTTTAATCCAAGGATTTTAAAGCTAATATCTTTAGTTCTAGTAATGGGATTGATATGGAAATAAGCACACTTAGAAATGAACATTTCAAACTATTTAATTGAAATTAAATAGTTATAATAATTTATAATGATATTAACTCTTTCAGCATGAGTTCGGTCCCTGGGACTGACCTTGTAACCATTTTGTGCTTGTTATAGTTTCATGCTATAACTTTTAAATTAGTAAGTGAATGTTAACGAAATTTGGCAGATTACTAGTAAACATTACAATGCTTACATATGCAAAACATTAACTCATATGTTTTTTGTTTTAGCATGTTGCCTATCTATCATGCAATGTAATATTCATTTTAAGATTAAAAATACTTTTATGCATCAGAAAAGTTTGAAATTTCACATGCAAAATCTTTTTAATGTCGAGGTAGTTATCAAATGTTTCTTGAGAAAAAACTTTATATTTTATCTCTTATTTTTAGTAATTAACCTCTCTACGGGTTTGGTAGATTTGACCAATCTTGCAACCACCATAAAAATTGGGAAATAAATATAAATTGAAAAGATAAAAGGCTCTTATTTTATATTCTAGCTTATCAATATTGGAAATTTGAGTTTCTAATTCCAAAGCTGCACATTATACTTAATATAAGGCCTATTTCCTTCATAATTGCTTGTAAAGTACTGGTCTTCATTACTGGTGATGTCAATTCATTCTATAAACTTAGTTTATCACTGTTTGAAGAAATAAAACTGTCTTAACTGGAGCATATTTTGTCTTTTCTGAATCGTAATTTTTTTCCCTCTCATCTAAATTGATGTCAGAATTAATCACATTGTAAAATTCTATGTAAACTTAGTGAGATCACATTTTAACCGTATTTTTTCAAAAGAAAATAAATTGTGATCTCAAACCTATCTATATAAGATAGCCCTTCCAGTAGAAATAATCCAAGATAGTAATAACTGGAAACCATAATTTCAACTAGTTGAGTATTTTCTTGACATTTGATATAACTGGAATTTCGATTAATCAATTATTGTAGAAAATGAAAACAGTGATAATCAGAAACTTATTTTGATTAATTGTAATGTAATTAATGTTATAGATAATTGGTTAATTAAATAAATCACCCAATTCTAATTATAATTTAAGTCATCAAAATATTGTGTGTTGTTGCTAGTAGTAGAGGATTTTAGGTTGTATCTAAAAAAAAAATACTGAATATAAGTCTAAAAAGATTATCATTTCATAGTGTAGGTCACTGTTTAGGCAACATTTGGAGTATTGTGTTCAATCTTGGGCTCATTACCTTAGAAAGGACATTGAATTATTAGGATGGAAAGGTTGTCATACGAGGATAGGTTAAGATCTCTGAAATTTTCTTTTAAAAAAGAGAAGTTAAAGAGGATCTGAATGATGTTAAAGATTGTTAAGGGAATTGATAGTGTTGATGTATCATTTTTTTATATGTGATGATGAGAATGGTAGAACTAGGAGACACAGATATATATTTTGTCAGAGTAGGAGTCATTTTCAGCTAAGACAGTTTTATTTTTCTAAAAAGATAGTTGGCTTTTGGAATCAGATACCTTCAGATGTGGTAAAAACAGTAAAGTTAAGGGACTTTAAGGACTGGCTTTCAGCTTATGTATATATAGTTTAGTGGATGGGACAACCTTAATAGACCAATAATTTTTTTATTGTCCTTATGTTAATTGTATACTTTACTGAAAGCAACAGTTTTAAATGTTGGTACAAAATCAGAATGGAAAAAAAGTACTGCCAGTACGGTTTTGATAAAGAGTACTTAGATATAATTTACATTAATGTGAAGTTCAACTTTGCAAGATGTTTTTTGTGTACATATCCTGTGCTGTTAATTGACATTTGTTTTTACATAAGAATGTAAGAAAAGGCAAGGTATCAGTTTTGAGAACCATTAATCAAATCTCAACATTTCAGTTGCCTTTACTTCTCCAAATGACTTCTGAAAACAGAATCCAACAACCTGCTAACAGAAGGCAATGAATTAATAGGTCCATAGCTCGTCAGATTCTTTGTAGCCATTTTATTTCAAATTTGAGTAACATTTGTGATCGTTCAATTATAAGGAACTTCTCTAGTGTCATAAGACTTCTGAAAATTATCAGTTAATGTCTGTAACACTTTGATTATCTTCTTGAATATTTTTGATAAATTACATCAAGGTCAGGAGTGCTATGTTCAGTAGGTCCTGTGCACATGAGCTTGTTATTGATTAAATAAATGATTTGTGATTTCTCTGTTTGTAGGTTTATCCTAAACAGTTCTGAGTGCTGAGGTGATATCTTCCAGAACTCCTACATCAGCAGCCAGAGATGGATAAGTGAGTGCTTTCCAGCATGGATGATTACCACCTTCTTGGTGGAGGAGTGTATGAATTGAGTGACAGTGGAGGAATAATGGATGATCCAAGTCATATTGTGGGAGGAGTAGGTTATGGATCTGAAACCTCTCAGACTATTGCGAGCTCAGGGATGATCCCATCACAGTTATCCCCTTCTGAAGCACACAGTCCAGGACAGATGATTAGTAGTATTATGACACGACATCCTCATGATAATGCAGAAAGTTATCAAATGGGGATTCAGCAAGTATACCAAGAAAATGATATCCTTCATAAATTTCAACATTATGGTAGTTATGAAAATATTTCAGGTATGGTTAGTAATCAGTTCTCAAGTGGAGGAAGGTTGCAACACGTAAATAATAGCTCTATCCCACCACCTGGGGACCAGCAGACACCACGACCATTAACACCCTCTCAAATTTCTAATTATGAACAAGAAAACATTCTGCCCTCTCAATATGCTCAGCTTAGCCAGCAGACTTCAGGACCTTCAATTAATATTGGACAAAGTGCATCTCAGTATCCTGGCTATAGTCGGGGTACTGTGCCTCATCAACAACAGCTGGATCAGACTGGAGACATTTGGCAGGGAACTATGTTACAACAGCATGGTTATCAGTATATGCCTCAGGGTCCCTCCTACTCTCACACTTCTCAGCCAACACCCTTGGCATCAATGCAGAGGTGCATTGGTTCAGTGGGGAATGTAGCTGTACCCATGCAAGTTCCAAGATCAACTACTCCGAACCAGTATATGTCACGGCAGGAATTTACTGTGCCCTCCCCGAGCCAAACAACTGCTGATCAGCTCCAAACTGTTTACACTGTCCAACCTAGTCTTAATGAACCATATATGAATCAAATGTGTGTTCCTGTCTCTCAGCCTTTGTCTCACATTCCTGTAGCTCAGTCAGAACATGGTATGTCCTCTTATTCTGCTCAGGGACAACATTCTTTAAGTTTTCAACCAGGGGGCACAAGGCCTTGTTACTCACCTTCCAGCAGCCTTAATGCTATCAATCCAGGGGACTCTGCAACCATGCAAAAGGCAGGTTATTCACCCTATTCACACTTGAACTCAGGTCAACAACCCATAACTCCTATCCAACAAGCCTCATCAACTACAATACAACAGTATCCTCAACAGTCTTATTCTCCTACCAAGTCTTATCATCATCAGTCATCACAGCACCAAGCATCCATTCTTGGTAGATCCAGCCCTTCACAACTGTCACCTTATTCTCAAGTTCAGCAGCCATCTCAAACTCCTAATAGTCCACAATACCATCCAGGATTTCTCCTTTCTCAAGTACATGTTTCTCCAAGACAACCAACACCACCAGCAGATTCTCCTATGTCCGCTTCACATACTCCAGATCGAGTCCCTTATCCTCCAACATCTACAACTCCACATTCTCAAGGAAGCTATCCAAGCCCTGTAACAGGTCATCTGTCCAGCCCTCATCAAGGATTGTCTCCTGGAGGAGGCAAGAATGGACCATCTAGTAGCTTACAACAATTGGAGCAAATGGTCATGCCTCACATAGCTGGTTCTAGTAATTCAAAAGCCTCTACACCTAACTCTAGCATGTCATCTTCGATGACTGGCCATCCTGTTGGCATGATTGGTGCTTCTTACTACAGCTCTGTTGGTCAGGATCAATTGCAGCAGGTGCAACAACATGCTGGTTGTCATCCATCTCCTTCTGTGTACCCTCAGTCCCATGCCTCACGACAGTATGGACACCAGCAATATATAGGACAACCAGGAGTACCTGTTCCCACTTTGTCTGCATCAGTGAATAACTCTGTAGGATATGTGCCAAATTCTTTGTCACTGCAGGCCTCTGGGCCCACTGTTATGAATGATGGTGTAAGGAGTGTCAGCATTCCACCTGCTGAAGTGGCTGTAACCACGAGTGTTACTTTCAGTGCATCTAGTAATGGAAATATCATGCATTCTTCTTCATCAGTACCTGATATGTCCTGTTCTTACACTCAAGATGCTCTAGTAGTTGCTTCAAATCACACTTCTATTTCTACCACTGATCCACCGCTATATCCTGCACCTACAGCATATGATGAATGGAATATGCCATTAAACTATGAAGTACATAACATTCAGCAAGAGCTGCAACACTTGTATAGTTTACCCCAATCTCCTCAAAGTCAGCAAAAGGTGAGATGTTTATCTTATGAAGAAGCTGAATTTTATTTTCTTTCATAATAATCATTTAACTTTAAGCTTTCCATTTTGTAGTTTTTTTCAAGGTCTCAAATCAGAGTAGTCATTCTCAAAGTATATTGTGAACAACATTCACTTAACTCTTTCAGCATTTGCTCTGTCCCTGGGACCAATCTCATGACCATTTTGTGCTTGTTATAATTTTCATGATATAACTTTTAAATTAGTAAGCAAATGTTAACAACATTTGGCAAATTATCAGTTAACATTATAATGCTTTCATACACAAAATATCAAATGTTTTTTTAAGTCTTAAGGTTTGTAAAGCAATGTT